TTTTTTTGGTCTTTTTGAGACAGGGTCTCCCTGCAGCCCCAGCTGTCCTGGAACTCACTATGTAGACGAGGCTGGCCTTGAACTCACAGAGATCCACCTGTCTCTGCCTCCCGAGTGCTGGGATTAAAGGGGTGCGCCACCACGCCCAGCCTTTATTTTTAACCTAATCTGTGTCCTCAACCCTCAGAACATGCCATATTGCCCAACTCCCTTGGGTTGCACAAAACACCTGGGCCTCTGTCTGATGACTTAATACATCATTTAACAATGTCTGAGCTGACCTAGAGTATGTTCACTGAATGTTTATTGAACATATAAACATATGAAATAAAGTTTGTTCACACAGAAAAACAAAATTAGAGTTATTACCTGTCCACTTCAAATCCATTACCTAAGTATCTAAGAGTTTTAAGATACCTTTTTAAAATTTGGCACAAGATGGGGATGGTGGCACACGTCCGTAATCCTACCACTCAGGAGGCTCAGGCAGAGGATCACTCTAAGGTTGAAGCCAGCCTTGGCTACATGCTATTGTCTAAGACAGCTTAGGTTACAAAGAGGGACATTATCTCAAAAAACCAAGAAAATAAAACAAACTAGCTACTACAATGTAATACTGTCAGCAAATGCTATTTAATCAAACCATATGAATACTTAGAAAAGTATAGGATGGAGTACAGTCTACTTGCCAGGTTGTGATTATCCCCTCCACAGAGTGCTGGGCCTAGTGGGTAAAGGTTAAGGGAGGATTAGTCACTTGAGTTTGTTTTGTTTTGCTTTGTTTTTAAAGGAAGCTGATGAAAACCTTTTAAAATAGTTAACCAGGGACTGGAGATTATAGCTTAGTGGTTAAGCACTTGCCTAGTATAGACCCTGAGTTCTATCCCCAGCACCAAAGGCAATCGATCCATCAATCAATAGCAAATCTCTAGGATACTGAGTCACCTGACAACATTCCCACCATCCTTCCAAACATCCTTGAATGAAACTGAAAGAATATGTAGAATCACTCCACCAAAGAAGGAGGGTTAGACGTTCTTGCTCAGTTTGTGATGCTATATGAAAAAGGATTAAGGGCCAGCAACATGGCTCAACGAGACAATAGAGGTACTTCAGGTAAGAGAGGCACTTGCCACCAAAACCCACATAGTGGAAGGACAGAACTGACTCCCCAAAGTTGGTCTATGACTTCCACACACACGTGTGTACGTACGCACACAAAAAAATAAAGAGCCCAAGCTACCCTCAAACTTACTCTTTAGCCAAAGATGATTTTGAACTCCTGATCCTCATGCTAACCCCCAATGGACGGGATTACTGGCATGAACCACCCTGCCCAGGTTTTTAAACTCATATTCTTTAAATTTTTAGTTATTTTTATTTTATGCGCATGTGCTTTTTGCCTGCATGTATGTAAGGGCACTCATGTCATGCAATACCTGTGGACCAGGAGAGGGCACTGGATTCCCTGAACTGGAGTTAGCCACCATGTGGGTGCTAGAAACCAAACCTGGGTCCTCTACAAGAGCAGTCAGTGCTCTTAACCACTGGGCCATCTCTTCAGCTCACAAACCCATATTCTTAAACATTCAGCGTTCAAGGCCTTTCTTCTCTCACCTTGGCCAGCTACTCTCCTCCACTGGAGCCTATTTTTGCAAATGTGCCTTGCTCCCTCTCATATCTGAGACTCTGATCAAGCTATCTACTCTGCCGAAATATGCCACCCTATCTAGCCAATCCTTCAGATCTCTGCTACCCACTTTACCTGAGTCACCAAGAGGCCAAGATAACCCTACTAATATGTTCCTATCTACTATTGTTTCCTCCATGACAGTATTAATCACACAATGGTGACATTCCCCTACAACACTATAAATCTGTTTGATGGGAACTCTGTCTTGCTTCTCATTATATTCCCAATGTCTACCTCATAACAGATCGCCGATAAATCATTTAAAGATTTCTTTAAGAGAGCTGGGTGTGGTGATGCATACCTCTAGTCCCAGCACTCAGAAGACAGAGGCAGGCAGATCTCTGTGAGTTCAAGGCCAGTCTGGTCTACATACATAGTGAATTACAGACCAGCTGAGGCTACAGGGAGACCCTGTCTCAAAAAGACCACAAAAAAAAATTTAAGAGAAAGTTCTGCATCAAAACTTCTTCAATTCTATAGGAATCTAGGGTAGAATCTAGGGATCTTTTTTTGATGTTTTTTTTTTCTGGCCTGGACCTCACTATGTAGCCCCTTAATCCCCTGTTTCATTACTCTAGCCTGCTAACCCCCACAGTCCCATGTTTTCATTGCCTCTCTGTATTCATGTGTAAAATGATGTCTGGGAATTGAAGTCAGATTATCAGCCTTGGTGGCAAGTGCCTCTACTCCTTGAGCCATCTTGTTGGTCCTTAATTCTTTTTCATCATACCTATTCTTACCTCAACATTCTTACCTGGCAAAATCTTAACCTTCCCAGTAACCTTCTGTTTCTTCACTTGGGTACAAGAAAGTGACAGGAAGAAAATACTAATCATGCTGCCTGCACTATGTTTAAATTCATGACCACTAAGTTCAAAGGGCCTCAAGCAATACAACTCACTTCTGAAAGTAAGTCGAACTCCCTCCTCTATAGCTATGTTTTTCCAAGTACTGAGCACTGAACCCAGGGCTTTGTTGATGTCAGGCAAGCACTCTGCCAGTTATATCCCCAACCCTTTCCACTTTTTATTTTGAGACAAGATCTCCATAAGTTGTACAAGTTGGTCTTGGACTCATTCTGTAGCCCAGGCAAGCCATTAATTTGCAACCCTCTCAGTCTCCAGAGCAGCTAGCCCTGTGCCACCAGGTCCAGCTATTTACATGTTAAAGTTATCATTAAAAACCTGTCCTTCATTGCACTAGACACATTTACAGTTGAGTTCCTCTGTTTTTGGTTGAAACTTTACATATGCTTCTCCATCTCTATTTTTATTTAAAACTCTAATGAAAACACCCCACTCGGAATTAAAGTAGTCTGTGTAAAAACACTGAGTTCCCGGCTACTCGACTAGCAAGAAAAGGCAAGTTAAGTCTCCAGGAACCCCATGCCTCAAGCGGGGAAGGAAAGGCTTCTCTTTCATAAGAAAGGCATTTTTCCCGTCCAGGCCAAGTAGCCAGTGGACAGACCTTAGCGACCCACCAGATGGGTCCCCGGGCCCGACCCAGAGGACCCAGAGGACTCACCGCCATGGCGCCAAACGACTCAAAATTCAGCACAGACCCCAGCGATTCTCTCAAAGGTGTGCGTACAATCTTTCCTTCCCGCTGGGGAAGCCTCCCACGAGACTACAGCAAACTCCACGCTCTTGCCACGAGACTACAGCACACTAGACACTAGCTGAGGCAATCGCAAGGCTCACCAACGGGAGCTGGGCACATCTCAGGGGCAGCTGGGAGTTGTAGTTCCAAGATAACGAGTGCCTGAGTTCAACAGGCGTCATGGACTACAATTCCCAGAAGACAGTGGGGCACCGGAAGTCTGACCTTTCCACAGGTCCATTCTGAAGTGAAACCGGCAGTGACGTCACGTGCGCGTTGAACTACAAAATCCATGGTGCAGTTCTGGATGATGGCATGTTGTGAGTGTGTCCGGAAGGAAGAGGTGGAGTTAGGAACTTGAACCTTTTCATTTGGTGGAGCTGACTGACTGTCAGGGTGCTAGATTGCGAAATTGATTACTATTGAGTGACTGAGGTGCTGATTATGGCTTGCCACTATGCTCAGGTATTTATTACTACCGGTGGCTTTCAACAGCCCAGCATTTAGACATTTAATAACGCTAACAACAATCTGCACCTTTAAGGCGCGGGATCAGAAACCCCCACCTGTTCCCTAGGACTTGACTCAGACCATTTAGATTGCCCTTCCTTCCAAGACTAAGCTGTAGTCTGTAGTTACACGTGGAAACTTAACATTAAATATAATTTAATATTCATTTAGTAGCACAAGCCACATTTCAAGAGCTCATCAGTCCCTGTGGCTATTAGTGTCTACCGCTGGTGCAAATGTAGTCATTTCCATCATAGTAGAAAATTCTATTGAACAGGTCCGGCGATAGACGGCTGTTACTCTAGTGTTCAAATTCGTTTATGAATTTATCCATTAACCCAATAAACACTAAGCATCTACAAAACACTTTAAGAGAGGGGAACAGCTGGAAAGTGTAGCTACCAAACGTACTAAAGGATTTTTTTTCACAAGTAGTTCTAAAATACAAATTTAATGATGGTGTAATACAATACCTGACATAGAATATGAGCCCAGTAAAAATTTATTGGATGAAGCTGTGCCTAGTGGCACACGCCTTTAATCCCAGCACTAGGGAGTTCAAGGGGCCAGCCTGGTGTACATAGTAAGTTCCAGGCCAGCTGGGGCTACAGGGAGACCCTGTTCCAAAAAGACCCCCCCAAAAAAATTTATTGGATGAAATTTATTGAAGAAGGAGCATTGGTAATACGAGCTTTACACGCGTAGATTCTCTCCTTTGCTTCCCCTTCCCTCTTGTAACTACTAACAATTTAGAGATCACCGCTTGATATCCCAAGTCTGGGTATCCTACTGCTGAGTTAAATATTTCCAACATATTCCCTGAAGTGCTCTATTCTCTCCCGCTGTTGGAAAATTTATCTAACTACATTTAATTGCCTGTTTATCACCAGACTTCAGGCTCCATTACAGCAGGACTGTACCTAGCTGTGTTTGGCACATGGTAGGTGCTTTACAATATTTTTTAATGAATGAGAAAACCTCACACTCCACAGATTTTATAATTGATGCTGTGCCTTCCTGTTCCAATTGTGACCTCACCTATACTATTTGTCATCCTCTCGTTGGCAACTGAAATTTTTCATGTAACAAATATTTACTGAGTACTTTCCATGAACCTGATATAGAACTAAAATTGAATGGAGAGCCGTTCGTGGTGGTGCACACCTTTAGTCCCAGCACTCAGGAGGCAGAGGCAGGCAGGCAGATCTCTGTGAGTCTGAAGCCAGCCTGGTCTCCATAATGAATCTAGGCCAGCTGTGGCTACAGGGAGACCCTATCTCAAAAAAAAAAAATTGAATGGAGAACAAAACAGACATAGTTGCTGTCCTGGTTGGAGCTTACCACCATCTAAAGGACATGAAACATGAACTCGGAAAATAAACAAGTAATTGAGTACAAATTATTCATGCCTCCAGATTTATTCTTATTAATTTCCTACTTAAATAACTAAAATTGTTCTCTTTTTAAATTTTTTTAGTTTTTTTATTTATGTGTGTATGAGTGTATTGCCTCTGTGTGTGTGAGTGCACCCCTGCTGTACAATGTCTGTGGAGGTCAGAAGAGAGCATTGGGTTCCCTGGAACTGGAGTTACAGATGGTTGTTAGCCACCATGTGGGTGCAGGGAATCGAACTTGGGTCCTCTGCAAGAGCAGCCAGTGCTCTTAACCACTAAGCCATCTCTCCAGCCCCAAGATCTCTCTTTCTAAAAGTTATTTGAGGACTGGGGTTGTAACTTAGTGAGTAAAATGCTTACTTAGTGTGTAAGACCCTAGATTTGATCCTTAGCATCACAAGAAAGGAGGGGAAAGGCATTTGGATTCTATTCATTCAATAAAATTCATTTGGCATCTTCTATGTACTAAACACTATCCTGACACTGGAGATACACTTGAACAAGACAGACACAGTAATGTTATTTCATGGAAGTTAGAGAGATACCAGAAAAAAATGGCAGGCGTTAAATGAAAGAGAGCAATGAGAGGCCATCAAGGTGTTTTAGGTAAGGAAGGAATGTGATTCTATTTGTTTTATGAAGATCATTCTGATGAAGAACAGGAAAGAACAGTGGAAACAGGAGGTTACTACAATTGCCCAGAGCTTAGGTGTCTTGGACTATGGGAGTGATATTCAAGATGGAAAAATGTGAACAGATTAAAGAGATATTACAAAAATAAAAATTTTTGCTGATTAGTAATATGACTTTTTTTGGTGTTTTGAGACAGAGTCTTCCTGTAGTCCTGGCTGGCCTAGAACTCATTATGTAGACAAGACTAGCCTCAATCTCACAGAGATCCACCTGCCTCTGCCTTCCAAGTGCTGGGATTAAAGGCATATGCCACCACACCCAGCTAGTAATACGACTTTTCGATTGATACTTGTCAACTCATTGCTAGCCTATGTGACATCTACTACAGAGAAATAAAAGTAGAAAAACAGAATAATGGGTAAGAGCTCAAGCTTTAAATGAAGCAGATCTAATTCATCATTTACCAACTGAGTGACATAGTGCATTTCAACTAACCACTCTTTAAAACAGATAATAACAATATTTCTTCATAGAATTGCTATGAGAATATGTAAAATGTGCATGAACCCTATTTATATATGAACATGTATCTGTAAGCACTTTAAAATGTTAGCTATGTGTGACATTACTTAAGGAAAATGAGTCTAAAAATATTAATTTAATGGGAAAAGGTTACCTATGCTCCTAAGAATCTCTTCCCTGGCCTAATTGAGCTCGTTACCACCATATAATTGTTGGTATACCTTCTCTGATTGCCAAACCATATAATGCTCATACTTCAAAACTCCATAATAGAACTCAATTCCTCTCTATTGTTTTATTTTCTTTTTTCAAACTTGCCCCACTGGTCACTCCACTCAATTTAGTAAATTAAATTTAGATCTATAAAGCTATAATTAATTTTGGCTTGTCTTTGAATCCTTTTGTGCCTTTGTTTTTCATAGCCATTTACCTAGCTTCTCTATCTGGAAATGACAGGGTACTCTGGGGAAAGAAATGCAAGACCTCTTGAGATAGATGCTCCAGAACTTGCACTCAACAGTGACTTCACTATTAGACAGCTGTAGTTTTTAAGTGATTCTCTTCTCTTACATTCATGTTCTACCTTTATTTTTACACTTTCTCATTCATTCATTTGTTTGTTTATTTGCTTTTGAGACAGGGTCTCACTAGGTAGCCCAGGCTGGTGTCCAGCTTCTTTTGTACCCCAGAATAGCCACAAACACAGGCTCCTCCTGCCTCAGCCTCCCAGGGGCTAGGGTTAGAGGTATGAATCACTACATACATCTTTTTTCTTTAATGATACAAGTAATGGGAAGAAAATTAAAGAGAAGGAAGAAAATCCTTCTAGGACTTAAATATTTGTTGATGACAGTGTGGCTCTGTGCAACTTCCAACACAAGTCATGAGTCAGCTGAGATAGGAGTTGTGCAGCAGCTGTGTTCATGGGCTTTGGAATCTGGTGCCACACTTGTCCCATTCTATCACTGTGCCTTGGGTACATTCCTCTGAGTCCTCAATGTAAAATGTAGATAATGAGCATAACGACCTCTTCAGCTTGCTGTGTGATATTAGCTTCTACAAAAAAAAGGGGGGGCATTAGCCTATGCCTGGCATATGATTAAGTGCTCAAAAATATAAAGGAAGCAAGCACACAAGAAAAATAACTACTGAAAGCCAGTTTCATCGGCTGATGAAAACCCTACATTTTATTGCCACAAACTAGGAACAGTCATTAAATTAATGGAATTTGGTTTGGTTTTTTTGTTTGTTTTGTTTTTCTGGGGTTTTTTTGGTCTTTTTGAGACAGGGTCTCCCTGCAGCCCCAGCCTGCATGGAACTCACTATGTAGACCAGGCTGGCCTTGAATTTACAGAGATCCACCTGCCTCTGCCTCCTGAGTGCTGGGATTAAAATTGTGCACCACCCCACGCCCAGCAAGATTGTTTTTTATTTCCGGCAAGTGCAACAAAATTAGGGAAATTATCATTCTCAAGTACAAAATTTTCGAAAAACCTTCTTGTCTACTTTCTTCTAACCTAGGGATTTTGTGATTATCAGGAATTAGAAATCACTTGCTCAGGCCGATTCCAGACAGCATCCACAAGGTGCAGTCTGCCACCTTCAACATTCCACAGAGCACTGAGAACTATGCCATAGGCTTATATGGGCAATGTGACACTTGAATCATCAAAACACTGCTTTTGAGCCTGGTATGGTGGCACAGGCCTCCTGGCAGAAGCAGGAGATGTGGAATTCTAGGCCAGCTTGAGCTACAGTAAGATAAAACAAAAAGCGGGGCCTGATGACACAGGCCTGTAATCCTAAATACTCAGAAGGTTTAGGAAGGAGAATTACAAATTCAAGGCCTCTCTGTTCTACAGGTTAAGTTCAAAGCCAGTCTAGGCAACTAGTAAGACCTTGTCTTGAAATAAAAACTTTAAAAAGCCGGTTGTGGTGGCACACACCTTTAATCCCAGCATTTGGGAGGCAGAGGCAGGCAGATCTCTGTGAGTTCGAGGCCAGCCTAGTCTACAGAGCAAGTTCCATGCCAGCTGGGGCTACAGGGAGACCC